ATCACGGAAGCAGAGATGCGCGATCGCTACCTCGAAGGGTTGAAGCCGGACATAGCGGAGATCATAGCAATTCACGGGTTGTCCACCTTCGAGTCGGTAGTCGCAGCAGCAGAACGCGTCGACGCAGTACGAAGCCGACTGGGTCGTGACGATCGCGATAGGGGATACAAACCAATCACCGACACTCGATCGAGGGACGGACCGTCGCCCATGGAGATTGGTGCAGTTAACAGGGACGGCTCACAGAAAACGGGATTTAGGGGGAACTGTCACTACTGCAAAAAGCTGGGACACATGAAGCGGGACTGCCCACAGCTTAAGGAGCGGCAGCAGGGAAACGGAAACCGCCAGTAGATAGCAGGTCGCTAGCTGGTGTGAGCGCTTCCGAACCCGCCAAGTCTACCAACGTAGAGGAGACGACCTTAGAGCAGTCATCTACGCCGAACGAGGTAGACACTGTTGATCGTCCAGTCGGGCTTCTAGGGAAGCTTCGTGGAGTTCCAGTTAAGATTCTCGTAGATAGCGGAGCTAGCCACTCGTTCGTCTCTTCATCGCTAGTTTCTCGTCTCCATCTCGAATCAGATTCGGCCGTCAACTTCAAGGACGCGCGTATGGTAGATGGGACGCCGCTTCACATAGGACCAGTCATTCGCAAGTTGCGCGTGGTGCTAGGACCAATCACGGTTAGGCGTGATTTCGACTCTGCGACGCTGGACGGCTACGACTTCATATTCGGTAGAGATTGTTTGCGGACGGTTAATACTCAGTTCGATTGGGCTCAGGGAAGCTGCAGCGTCAAGGTAGACGGGGAGTTCCGGGAGCTGCCACAGTGGAGTGATGGGGCCACATCATCCACAGCTATCATCAATTTTGTTCGTATGCGGCAGCTGGTGAAGCGTGCGGCACGGATCTTCGCGGTTTTCCTTGAGGAGGTGGAAGCTGAGGAGGGGAAAGGAGGGAGTGCAGCAGTTGGTGAGAAGGCGACTCTTCCTGCTGAGGTGAGTGCACTGTTAGCAGAGTTCGCAGACGTCTTCCCCGACGAGTTGCCCCCAGGGTTGCCTCCCAGCCGAGCAGTAGACCATCGGATAGAGTTGGAGCCGGGAAGCAGACCAGTAGCGAAGCCGCAATGGAGGTTGAGTCCAGCGGAGACAAAGGAGATGACGCAGCAGGTTAGGCACTTTCTCGCGCAGGGGTTCATACAGCCATCTAGATCGCCTTGGGCAGCACCGATCCTTTTCGCGCCTAAGAAAGACGGAGGGTTACGGATGTGCATAGATTACCGCGCATTGAACGCCGCCACCGTCAAGAATAGGTTCCCGGTGCCGAGAGTAGAGGATCTTTTGGATGCAGTGCAGGGCGCTAGAGTCTTCTCCAAGATCGACTTCGCTCAGGATATCATCAGATTCGAGTAGTTCCGGAGGATAAGGACAAGACGGCGTTTCGTACGAAGCAGGGGTTGTACGAGTTTAGGGTTCTACCGTTCGGTTTGACCAACGCCCCAGCGACGTTTCAGACACTCATGAACACCGTCCTATCAGAGTTCCTAGGTTCGTTCGTCGTAGTTTATCTAGACGACATCCTCATCTTCTCCAAGACAAAAGAGGAGCACGTGCAGCACTTGCAGAAGGTATTCGAGGTCTTGCGGAAGGAGCAGCTGTACGCTAAGCAGTCGAAGTGCGAGTTCTTTCTCCCCGAGGTCGAGTTTCTAGGTCACGTCGTATCCGCTAGTGGCATTAGGACCGACCCGAAGAAGATCGCAGCAGTACAGGACTGGATAGCTCCGACCTCAGTCAAGGAGTTGCAGAGCTTTCTCGGGTTCGCGAATTACTACCGTCGTTTCGTTCAGGGTTACGCATCGATCGCTAGTCCACTCACCGACCTACTTCGGAAGGGCGTAGATTTCGATTGGGGTCCAGCGCAGCAGCAGGCGTTCGAGCAGATGAAGCAGTCGCTCACGTCTTCACCGACACTGTCGTACCCAGATCCCACTCGTCCGTACGTTGTAGTGACCGACGCATCAGATCGGGCCATTGGAGCAGTGCTTCTTCAGGATCAGGGCCGCGGGTTGCAGCCGATAGCATACGATTCGCGTAAGCTTAGGGGAGCGAAGCTGAACTATCCCATTCACGACAAGGAGGCGCTCGCGATCATCCACGCGTATAAGGTTTGGAGGTGCTACCTAGAGGGGGCAGATAGTGTGATACGCACGGACCATTGCTCGCTTCGCTTTCTCAAGTCGCAGCCGCAGCTGAGTCGTCGCCAGGCTAGATGGATGGAGTTCATGGAGGGGAGTTTCCACTACAGGATAGAGTACAAGCCAGGCGTTCGCAACCCAGCAGATCCACTCACTCGCCCTAGTTGCCAGCTCGCTAGTCTCACAGTCACTGCTGGCCATCCACTCCTCACAGCACTCTTCGAGCACGGTTACATAGTAGATCCCGACTTCACACCACAGCCGCCCGCAGGAGCAGAGGTGCAGGGTAGTGTCTACATACGGAAGGGTACCACACGGATTTGGGTTCTAGCCTACCGCCCTCTTCGACAACTTCTTCTTTCCGAGGCGCACGATGTAGTTAGCGCGGGTCACTTCGGAGCAGATAAGACGGCTAAGACGCTTAGTCGCACGTACTTCTGGCCAGGGCTTGCAGCAGACGTAGAGGATTACATTCACTCGTGCGACACGTGTCAGCGTACGAAGTCCTCTCGCCAGCGCAAGGCGGGACTTATGCAGTCGATTCCACCACCCGACCGCCCTTGGCAGGTAGTTACGATGGACTTCATCATGGCTTTACCGCGCACAGTTAGGGGTCACGACGCCATCTTCGTGGTAGTGGATTTGTTTTCTCGAGCAGCACACTTCATCCCCACGCACGGCAAGGTCACAGCAGAGGAAGCCGCGACGCTGTTCGTAGATAACGTAGTCCGACTGCACGGGGTTCCAGATTCCATCATTTCCGACCGCGACCCTCGTTTCACTTCGAAGTTCTGGAAGCAGCTTTTCGCACTGTTTGGGACTCGCTTAGCCATGTCGTCTGCGTACCATCCAGAGACAGACGGACAGACCGAGCGTGTGAACCAGACCTTGGAGCAGATTCTTCGCAGCATCACGATGCACGACGCAGCCGCATGGGACAAGAAGCTGAGCATGGCCGAGTTCGCCTACAACAACACGCACCACTCGTCCACAGGCATGTCACCGTTCTTCGCACTGTACGGTCAGCACCCCAATGTCCCCACTCGTGTCGATCTTACACCCACAGTCCCTCGTGCGGACAACTTCCACCAGCATCTCACCTTCATTCATGATCACGTGAGGAAGCACCTTGAGCTCGCAAATGCACGCATGGCACGCACCACCAACCGCAGTCGTCGTGAGGTGTCGTTTGCAGTCGGCGACCGTGTTCTTTTGGATAGCCGCAACCTCCGACTGCCACAGGACAGCAAGCTTCGCCCTCGTTTCATTGGTCCATTCGTCATTGAGCGCGCACTAGGTCCAGTCGCATACCGCCTCCGCCTTCCCGCTAATTTCCGCATGCACCCGTCATTCCACGTGTCTCTCCTTTCTTCCATACACCGATCCCAACGCCACCTTCTCGGGCCGTGATCGCACTCCACTGCCGGTAGCTGTTGACACTGACGAGCCCGACTACCAGATCCAGCGCATCCTCAGGCGCCGTCGCCGTCTCCAGGGGGGTGTCTCTTTCATCGACTTCTTGGTTCGTTGGCGTGGTTACGACGCAGCAGACGACAGCTGGGTTCCTTCGTCCTCACTGTCTCCTGACAACGCTTACCTCCAAGCGTACCTTCAGTCTGCAGGCGCCGCGGACGTCGCCTCCTTGGGAGGGGGGTAGTGTTAAGGGGGGATTTACTGTTCCCTTTGAACAGTACTTTCCAACTCACCCTTATCCTTATCTTCCTTGATTTCCTTGTGCCACGTGGCACTCTACTTTTCTTGCTTCTACTTTCTAGTCCCACGAAGTACTTTCCATCATTCGATCTTGCATGCTATATCAACCTTGCTTGTATTCCCCAATATCAATCAATTCTCATTCAACTCTTTACTCAGTAACTTCTTCGCCTATTTCGCAAATAGTTCTTTAGCCAAAGTCTTCCGCCGCGTTTCATCCTCGACTTGACTCCGCTATTCTTTAGCGGATTTAGGCCAAGGGGCCTAACACAACACTTATACCGTAGTGATTCCATTGCCCCTTCGGAATCTTCGGAAAAAAATCCGCTGTCCGAAGATTTGCTCGTACACCCACCACCACTCACTGTTCCAGTTGGCACACCTCGCCCAAAACCCCGCGTCCATTCATTCCCCTCGCTCCCCCTCCCCCAGCACTGCGCCAACGAACCCCGCGGGTGAGAGACCCCAGGTGCAGCTCGATGAGTGGATCGAAGAACGGCGTATTGAGAGATTCCGAACGGTGAATACAGGGGACACTACGTTGGGGGGTTCTCTCTTGATCCCCCTTGATGGGTGTGTGAGAGTGAGAGCCGAGGGGAATACAACGAAGCTGGGCCGTTGCGCAAGGTCTAGAAGCTGCCGCCCTTCTTCACATTCATATTCGTCCTATCACCAGCTCTCACACCGCCCGTGTGGCGTGTTTGAGAGCCAGCGCGCGATTCGTTTTACGGGTTCCGGGGTTGACGTGGCGTCGTTTCCTTCACAAGCACTGTTGTAGACATCGTCCTAGTGCACCCCGGTGCACTTGAATGGGCCATTCCAATATCAACCTATGACGACGAGTTGGTTGAGTGCACGTAAGTGCGATAGGTCAGTTTCACGGCACCTTCCAATAGGGCCTTTACGACGAGCCCAGCTCCGTACCGTACTGTATATGTTCAGCCAGAGTGATCATTTCGAACATGTCAGGTCAACATTTGTCGACGCGTGATCAGTTATTTTCCGAAGCGACGCTAGCATTTCCAAGATCAGAGATCCAGCTCAGAGTTTTGACAGTCGCAGTTTACCCCAGTCGTCGCGAGCATCTCCGGCCATGGCTGACTCAAACGAGCCGTACGTGGTGGTGGGAAGCCAGTACTGCCTGCCGGAAGAGTCGGTGCTTATACTGAAGGAGAAGATGTGGTCGCTGCGTGAGAAGGCCGAGATTCGCGACGGTCAGGGTCAACTGATCTTCAGAACTGAGGATAAGTACGTGAAATGCATTTAACTAGCTACGTTCCAATTTCGCCAACCGGCGTTCCGAGTTCGCAGAAAAAAAACGCGTAATGAGCGGCTGAACCTAACCTTCGCTCCGTTTTCCGACTCTCATAACCAATGTGGCAGGGCATGGGATATCAAGGAGAGAAAGACCATTTTCAACGCGCAGGACGAGCCGGTTTGCTCGATGATTAGCAAGGTGTTCTCCCTCAGCAACACCACGTACCTCTGCGCTGGCGCCGACCCGGAACCTGACAACGCGCTGCTCACCGCCAAGAGCGTCGTGCTAACTTGGTCACCGATTCTCAATGTGAGTTTTATCACACCTTCGTTTCAACTTCTGAGACATCTCAAAGGTCCTGACAGCGCGCTGCTCGCTCACGTTGTGCTGACTTGATCACCCACTCTTAGAGTGTTGTTAAATCTTTGTTTTCATAGCTAGAGAGATTTCAAAGGCATCGGCAGGTGGGCAGGCATGGGAGGTGATTATGGTTGTTCGTTCGTCTAAGTACATTGTAGGCTAGCCTTGACGTACAAGGTTTCTCACTATATTACGTCTAAGCTAAATCTTGATGCAACCTACTTTGGGAGTACGTACAGCTGAGTTAATGTCCTCGTTACAACGTATTCAAGCTTACGGTGATCTTGGTTTTCTCCCTATTCCACCCAATCCTGTTTGATTCATGTTCAGGTTTTCCTGAAAGGGAACACGTCAGATAATGCACCTGACATTATTCTCAAGGGCAATTTCGTTCAGTACGACTTTACTGTACGTGCTTGTAGTCTCTATCAGCTCATAGACCAGCGCAGTTCGTCTTATTTGCTGAGCTGTGCGCGTTACCTGTTTCCTCTCCTCATTCCCCAGTGTTTGGGAAACAATAAAATACTTAGCACTTGTAAAGCTTGGCTTCCATTTGCTGACGTGGGGTTTTCTCTCTTCCCTTCATTACATGTGCAGATTACCACTTCCAGTGGCCGTCTTTTGGCAACGGTGGACCGCAAGCTCCAGGTCAAGGATATTTTCTTGGCAACGCAGACACATGCAGTGCACATCAAGCCCAATGTAGACAGGGCTCTTATTATGGGCCTTGTTGCCATGGCTGACAATATATATGTCAACAGGGAAAACGACGATTAGGTCTGCCCTTTTACAGCTATTGTATGTAGTCAATATTCCAATTATGTTCACTGCTAATAATAAAGGCATCGAACCAGTCGCCCGGTTTGACAAATGGCGTATGTCTTTTCTCATATGATGTCTGTTAATCTTGTAATACTGTTACGGGTGCAATGGAACGAGGTAGTGAGGATTGCACTATGTGGGTCAAAAGTACAAAGTTTGAGCGAAGGCATGAGCAAATACGGTATGTGCGAAACATGCAACGGTTACGCGATGTGTGCGAGCTAGTGTCAAATGTTGATATTTGTGATAGGCTGTAGTGAGGTGCTCCTTACTGAGTACAAACATGTTAGGGTTTCCTATTTGTACCCCAACTCTTTTCTAGTCAATCATTCCGTTGCATTCTAATTTTGAGATGGTATCACGAGTAGGTTAGTTCCTCGTTACTTCCTAGCCCGCGCCCTCTCTAGCGCACCTCCGCGCCCTCCGCGCCTTAGCCTCCGCGCCCTCCGCGCCCTCTCCGCGCCTTAGCGCCCTCCGCGCGTCAGCGCCCTCCGCGCCCCTAGCCTGCGCCGTCGCGGACCTCCGCGCCTAGCGCCCTCCGCGCCCCTAGCCTGCGCCCCTAGCCCGTCGCCCAGGCCCACGCCCTAGCCCGTCGCCCAGGCCCACGACCTAGCCCGTCGCCCAGGCCCGCGCCCTAGCCCGTCGCCCAGGCCCGCGCCCTAGCCCGTCGCCCAGGCCCGCGCCCTAGCCCGTCGCCCAGGCCCGCGCCCTAGCCCGTCGCCCAGGCCCGCGCCCTAGCCCGTCGCCCAGGCCCGCGCCCTAGCCCGTCGCCCAGGCACGCGCCCTAGCCCGTCGCCCCGGCCCGCGCCCTAGCCCGTCGCCCCAGCCCGCGCCCTAGCCCGTCGCCCAAGCCCGCGCCCTAGCCCGTCGCCCAGGCCCGCGCCCTCACTCGCGCATCCGCACCTCCGCCTCGTGCCTCCGCGCCTCCGCGCCTTGCCCGCGCAGTCGCGCTCTGCCCTTCGCCCGCGCCTTGCCCTCGGCCAGCGCCCTGCGTTCAGCCCGCGCCCTGCCCCTAGCCCGCGCTCTACCCCAAGCCCGCGCCCAGCCCGCGCCCTCGACCCGTGCGCACCCACCCCACTAGGCACGTGGACCTTTTCCCCACCACCGCACTGTTCACTGGGCCCCCCCGCCGTTCCTACTGTCATTGGTCTCTCGGTCAGCGGCTGGCAGCCGCTACTCTCACCGGTCGCCTAGGTTAGACCCGTGTAGCCACTAGCTCCTAGCCACTAGCTCCGCCGGTCTCTTGCCTCGCCACACCTGGCGCTCCTAGATTTCGCTCCTCGCTCCTAGACCCGCCTCCTCCGTGCTCCAGCCGCCTCTAGCATGGCCTCCATTATGGAATCCCACCGCCTTCGTTTTGATGCGGAGGGACGCCCGATCGAGTTCAGTACCTGGCAACGCCAGACCACGCGCTACCTCACCAGTCAGCGTCAGGACGGCGCCACCCTGTGGGCCCACGCGTTTGGTGCCCTCAAGGCGCCCCAGTCCCCCCCCCCCCCTGCCGACCGGCCCAGAGCCGACTCCTGCGGCCCAGGCGGACTACGACCGTCGGGTCCTGGCGAGGGACATGTGGAACTCCCGCGACGCTGCCGCCGCTCTTGCGCTGACGGAGCTCCTCCCCCCGACTGAGGCTGCCCACTTTGACAAGGTGGAGACAGCTCAGGGGGTTTGGGATGCTATTGTTGCACGCTATTCCACCCCCTCCTCTGCCTCCCTCAGTTGCCTCCTCATGCCGTTCGTGTTTCCCGACCTCGGCTCGTTTGCGACTGTGTTCGACCTAGTGACTCACCTCCGCTCACTTGACGCCTGTTTCCGTGCGGCCTGTACCTTTGCTGCTCCCCCCCCCATGTGGCTCACTGTGCACTGGTTAGTCACCCGCCTCCCTAACCGCCTTGCCACTGCTCGCGACGCGCTTCTCCAGAAGCACCCCACTGAGCTCACTATCGATCTCCTTGAGACCGCTCTCGGGACGATCGAGAGTAGCCTCCTCACCGTTGCCTCCGCCACTGACGCGGTGTCTCCTTGTCTCTTTGCGGGTTGTGCCGCCCCTCAGCTTCCCACTTTCACTGCTACCCGCGCTTCTGCTGCTGTGTCGGTTTCTGACGACACTGCTGCCGTTTCTGCCGCAGACTGGCAGAAACGGGGCAAGAGTGGCAAGAAGGGCGGGAAGGGGGGAGGTGGAGGCGGTGGAGGCAGCGGTGGAGGTGGCGGTGGAGGTGGGAGCGGCGGTGGTGGAGGCGGCGGCGGCGGAGGTGCACCAGGAGGAGGGGGCCTTGGAGGAGGCGCAGGACACACATGCCCGCCCACTGGCGGTGGCCCGACCGGTGGGGGTGTTGGACCCCAGCAGCAGCAGTCGCAGCAGCACCAGCCACAGCAGGGACAGCAGCAGCAGCAGGGACCGCAGCAGCAGCAGGCATCGCAGCAGTTCCAGCAGTGGGGGCCCCCGCTGCAGTGGGGTCCGCAGCAGCACTGGGGTCCCCCGCTGCAGTGGGGGGAGGACCTGGGAGCACCGGCCGCAGCAGCAGTACTTCCAGCTGGGCCCCTCGCCCCCCTCGCCATGACACTGGCCCCTGCACCCACTGGTGCCTCACCGGACCGGGCAGCCCCTGTCTCTGCAGTCGCGACGACCACTCTGCCGCGCGGTGCTTCCGCCGCCTCGACGACCTCTACCGTGCTCGTTGGGGCCCTGCGGCGACCACGCCTCGCTGGGCTCGCCTGTTAGCCCGTAAGATTGATGTGTTTGATCTGTCCATGGACGATGCTCGTCAGCATGCTTTGTATGCAAATGTTGACTATAGTGCTGATGGATCAGTGTGCTCGCGTGTTCGTAGATTATCTTGCTTGCCTCCTGCTAGTGTAGACTTGTGCCTTTCTAGTCTAGGTGCTTGTGTTGCTGCTCTAGGTGCTTGTGTAGCCACTAGGACAGGTGACCCTCCGGCTGAGGCGTCCCTGTCCTTCACGCTGGACTCTGGTGCGTCTCAGTGCTTCTTCCGCGACCACACGACCCTCACGCCACTCCTCACTCCTGTTTCGGTAGCTCTGGCTGATCCTACCTACGGACCAGCCATTGCGCGTAGCTCCACTACCCTCCCGTGTCCTGTGGTCCCCTCTGGTGTCCTGCGCGGCCTCCACATCCCCTCGTTCACTCGGAACTTGGTGGGTGTTGGCTACCTCCAGGACAGGGGGATCACGGTTACCTTTGTGGAGGGTGGGAGGACTGCGGTCTGTACAGACGCTGCCACAGGTGCTGTTCTGGCCACGTTCACCAGGGAGCCCCGCTCCGGTCTCTACGTTCTCCACACCGAGCGCTCCCCGGTTGCGTCCTCCGTTCAGGTCGTTGCGTCCCCTCCAGTCCAGGTGTCCAGTCCGGTTGCCGTGTCTAGCCAGGTGGTCGTGCCTGGTCCAGTTGCAGTGTCTAGTCCGGTCGCGGTGTCCAAACCGGTTGCTGCGTCTTGCTCCTGTCGCTCCCTCACCCACCGGACCATCTTGTGGCACCACCGCCTTGGTCACCCGTCGATCCCCCGCCTCCGCGGCATGACCAGCCAGGGGCTTGTCACAGGTCTCCAACGCACCTTTCCGTCGCTCCCTACCTCACTTGCTCCCCCTTGCACTCCTTGCGTCGTCGGTCGCTTACGCGCCACTCCTCACTCCTCCTCCCTTCGTCCGGCCACTGCTCCCTTCGAGACTCTCCACCTGGACGTCTGGGGCCCTGCCCCGACGCAGGGATCTGGGAGGGAGCGTTACTTCTGGTGGTCGTCGACGACTTCTCCAGGTACACCACAGTGTTTCCTCTCGCGAAGAAGTCCGAGGTGACTGCTACGCTGATCCGGTGGCTTCTGGCCACTGGGGGCCCTCGTGGTTGTCGTGTCAGTTGTCTACACTCCGACCGTGGGGGCGAGTTTCGCTCCGGCATTCTTGGCGGATTCTGCGGCGAACAGGGCATCGTACAGTCCTGGACGCTTCCGGAGTCCCCACAACAGAATGGGATTGCTGAGCGCCGCATTGGCTTGGTCATGGACATTGGTCGCACGTCCATGATCCATGCGCGTGCGCCCCATTTTCTGTGGCCCTACACGGTTCGCTACGCCGCACACCAGCTGAACCTTCAGCCGCGCGTCTCACAGCCCGAGGCTTCACCGACCAGTCTTTGGACCCATGTTGTCGGGTCGTCGCACGTGGCGCGGATCAGCTGCTCCATGGTCTGATTGGTCCGCTCCGTTTGACCGTCGGTCTCGGGGTGGTACGACGAGCTGAACTGTAGCCTGGTCCCGAGCTGCTCCCAAAGGTTCTTCCAGAAGTTGCTGGTAAACGTCGTGTCGCGGTCGCTGATTATCGCGGCTGGTATCCCGTGCAGTCGTACGACGGTTGCGATGAACAGGCGAGCGGTTTCTTCGGCTGAGATCGATTTCCTGCACGCAGCGAAGTGAGCCATTTTCGTCAGTCTGCCAACGACGACCATTACAGCGTCGTTACCCCCGGGGTTCGAAGGTAACCCCGTGACGAAATCCATGGTAACCTGCTGCCAGGCGCGCTCGGGCGGTGGAATCGGCTGCAACTGACCCGCCTTTCTTTTTTCGCGAGCTCTTCATCACCTGACACGTAGGATACGAGCCCACGTGGTGCTGTACGTCGGTCAACACCTCCGGCCAGTAGTAATACCGCTGCAATTGCTGTCGCGTTTTTTCTACCCCGAAGTGACCCGAGGTAACCCCGTCGTGTGCCTCCTGCAGTAGCAGTTCCCTCAGTAGTGAGTACGCGGATACCCAGATGCGGTTGGTGCCTGTCTTTACGTAATAGACTCCCTTAGCTTCTGCAAGTTGCTGTGAATTTCCGGTCGTGAAAAATGGGTCGGTGCGGTATCCGTGGGTGAATAGGCCTGTTAACAGTGGGTTGGTTTGGGCGATTAGGATGGCGTGAAGTTGGGTGGTAGGGCGGGTGAGTGCGTCGGCGATATT